TTTCCACCCCAGCATGCTGTGCATTACGCTGCAGTGTTCTGGAGCAGGGGCTTAGCAAAAAGCGGTCGGCAGAGTTGTTTCTTTTATCCCTGCTATTCCTTTTCCCTGCGATGGCAATTTATAAATAGGAAGCAATTCCAATGCATGATGGCACAGATCCCATCTGCCAATGACAAATCTGGTCACCTTTTCGTAATATTTCTCCCAATAAGCAACTTGAGTTGACAAAACAAAAAAGCCCTTCTTTAACATGTTAAAGAAACAGACTGCTTCACATAAATGCATACCTGTCATTAGGATTAAAAAAAAATCGGTGATGGCATCTTGACCATTTTACACATATTTTTATACTAATTACCTGTTTTGTTTTGTTTTTGTAGCATTAAGCTATAATCAGAATTGTTACTATCTGTTGTTATTAAGAGGCTATGTTTTAGTTTGTCCTCAGCCAAATGATACCTTTTTACCTCTTATAAAACCCACAATAATGTTAGGTATTTACCAATCTCAAAGAGCAGAGCCCTATTTTTAAATCTAAACCTATTTTAACTTCTATCATTTGAATGTAACATACACTGAGTTGTTGCTAAATACGTGAGCATTTAAGGATCTAAAAAAAAAAATCTCATGAGCCTAGATCTGCAGCTGACCTCTGCTTCTCTATAGCCTCAGACTTGACGTTAAGAAGGAGGTAACATCAAGGCTGGCAATATTTCCCCAAGTTCTTAGTGTTTAAATTTCACATTCAAAAGAAATGGCAGTGGACTGTGCACAGGCCATTTCTTCTGACAAAACGGAAATGGGAAGAGACTCATAAATATTTTCGAAACCTCCCCAGTATGGCACACCGTGACATGTGATCAATGGATCCTCATGCTTTGATATGTTACAGCGGGAACTTTCCAAAACGACTTACTGGGTTGTACATCTGATTGAACAACTGCTCAGCTTGCTACATTGCAAAGTTGGGGAGGCATTGAAGCACAGACAAGGAAAGAAGGAAAGATCCAGAAAAACAGTATTAGCTCAGCAAATCCAGTGCATTTGCACAGACGAACTGGTCGTTAAAAAAGAAGAAATTTCAGTTTCTAAACATTCCGCAGTGAGAGTGAGAGGCTCTGGGGAAATAGAAATGTTGACATTGGCTCCTAGAAAAGAATAGCTGGAATAAGAAATTTAAGGTTTGTGTTACTTTCCCTTTCTCAAGTTAAATAACCCATGAAATAAAGAAAGCTGTCCACTTTTGATGATACATGAAGTGCTGGCCTCCAGCAATGAATCAGAAGTACTTTTGGCCAAGCTTGCAATTTATTCCCTGAACTTCAAAGATGGTAATAATAAAAGATTAATTAAATCTTATCATTGAATTTATGGCTCTTATTTTATATTAACACAAGCCTGAATTTTCTATTCAGTCTAACTTTAAAAAAACATAGATCAGCAAACAGCAGGTTAGCAATAGCAAAATATCAGTAAGCAAGACATTACAGGATTAATAGTAAATGGGAGAAGTAAAAATTTAAGTCAGCAGGAAAACTAAAAGGAACCAAAATTTAGTATTATCCATTGCTCATTACCAGTTTCTCCTGTTAATTCATAATTTAAAAAAAATATCATTTTTAGTGACTATCCTATTATGTTCCAAGTGTTTAAGAATCTGTAACGCTCTCCTGTCTGTGTTGTGTAGAGAGTTGAATGTTTGAGGATTTAAATGTATGAAATGTTATTTTAAATAACACTGTCAAGTTGTGCTTCTCAAAGACCTACATCATTAACTTGAGGCTCAACATCAAGACGCAGAAGGTAAAATACTGTATGAAATTTTTACTTAGCTTTATGCTAAGACATGTGCCTTTAAAGAGATTGAACTTTTTTGTTTCTTCAACTTTAATGAAGTAAATGATAATGTTATTATGGTTAAAAAAACACCACCCTCCTCAAAGATGGTATTAATTGGAAATTAATAAAGAGTATAAATCATAACAGTTCACACTACTTTGATTCTCAGTTGATTTCTAGTTATATAAGGTACTTTTACTTCCACATATCGAACACCAAATGCTCTTTCGAAAGACAAATCGATGCGTGTGTCACTGATCAGTTCCTCTCAATCCATGGGTGTCTACTTAGGATGAATGCATGCACTAATTTATAAGGTACACACATAACTAGTAGTTAGTCATGATTTGGTGAGTACCATTTTATCAACCTATCCGTAAAGAGTCCCTCGTATGTGGACATTTGACTGCGTTATTTTTAAAGAGGTGGGGTGAATTGATAAGAAACAGTTCCTTTTCTGCCTATGACCATTTTTCATCGCAAAGTATTTGGAAACGTCCTAACACAGTATAGTAAAGGGTTAAAAGCAACTAAGAATGTGGAATGTTTTACACAAACTTTTATATACTAACTCACCTTACCAATTTCAAGAATTGTTCAGAAGATAAAAACACAAATTTAAATCTCCGTTTGGATTCCATTGTCACCGGCAGACAAGGATTCTGTTCAGCTAAACACATCTACGTTGTGTAGATTTTATGGCAAAAATACCTGGACGCTCACAAATCGTGAGCAAAATTCCACTGGGAATTCATGGTTTATTTATGACATAATAAAACTATTATGTTTTCAGCTTTCATTTAGTAACCCTTTATATTTTATTCACAAGTCACATACCCTTTTATTTAAAGGGAGGCCCAGACACTCCTTAAGCTTTTATAGCTGCTTATTTTTCCATGAGTAAATGATGTGTTTATATGTATATTCACATACTGTTGGCTTATATTTTCAAATATTTCATGTAGATCTCAATTCTTTTTAAGGTGATGGGTTCTTGAGGTTTTTACGGAACTATTTATTAGCAGAAATTAAAGACTACTAGAAAAAGTATTTTAAACTTTTGAATTTAGTTGATGCTAGAGAGCCAAAAATAACAAAATTGCATCTGCAGGTTAGGTATGAAAATATTTAAATTATAATTACCTTATTTAATCTCACTGTACTATGCATTTAGGAGATAGTATAAGCAAAGATTATTTATATACTTAGAAATAAGTTATCTTTTCATAAATTAAATAGGTCTTTTACAGCAAGACAACCATATTTGTTACTTTCATTCTAGTGATGTGGCAGAATATGAAAATGTTGTCAGGAATAATGCTAAAGTGTTTACAGAATTTGATGTGTGAATTCCAGGACATGGCGTCTACCTGTGGGTTAAAGGAAACCACATGCTCAAAGTGATTTCTCAGTCGAACCATAGCTACGTTGAAAGAAACTAAATTGAATTGCATAGATGTTGATTTATTAAACTGGTCAAGTCATATACATGGAAACCATAAGCATCAATATGTGAATCTCTTCCTTTTAATTACTGGAGGATTTCAAATTCCACAGATGACTTACCCTAAAGGGAGGGTGTCTAGAAAAATAATCTGCAGAAATAATATACGGAGTGCCCGCATCTCCTTAATGGCTCTTCAGAGCTGATGAAGGAACCCTTTCAAGGCCAGGCCCAGCTGAGGCCGCCTCCAGGACTCAGCACAATACAGCTGAGGCGAGATAGTACAAGGACAGCCGCGGGGAGCCAACGGCGCGCCCTCTTTCACAGAGTTATCTCAGAGCCTGCTTTATGATCACAAACTGTTTGGCAAATAAAAAGTACATTTCTTGGTGTGCATGTGTGTATAACATATTGCAGAGCACATTTATATATGTGTGAAGAATGAATATCTATACCCACTGCGTAAATAGCCAACTCAATCTTCATTCAAACACCCTCAAATGGGAAATTTAAATCCCATTTATTGTTCAAGATTTCTGCTTAACTAGACATTGCTTGAAAAAAGTGAGATGTTGAGTAGATTGGGAAATAGATTTTGCAATATAGAGATTTTCTGGCTGTCCTGCTGCAAAGGGATTTGATCTGCATATTTATCTTTTCTGTTTGGTGAGGAGACTTTATCCGTGTGAAATTCTCATGACAATTTCCTAAAATTCTGTGGTAAAGTGAACACACACTGTATAATCACATTTCAGTTATATATTGCATCATACAAAATAGCCTATTAAATTTTAAGATATCCAGAAAAATTTCTCTGCAGATATATAATGCTTTCACATCCCTAGCATCTATATCATATATTTTCATAACTTTAGCAAATAAATCCTCAGTCCAATGTGCTGTGAATTATACATTGTCAAATAGTATTATATACTTTGTTTCATTTTTTAGCTCCTTATCATCTCCTTCCAATAAGTTTATACATTGTCAGAGGGAAACAAAATGCTGAAACTCATAATGTTATGAGTTTTACGTGAACAATGAATGCAGACATACCAAACAACACAGGGCAGAAGTCAGAGGAACGATGCATGACCGGGAATGCACTCCACAGAGATACCCAGTTCAGAGAAAACATGTTAATGCTGCAATATAAAGATTCTGTACTCTTTTCCAAAACCCTCCACATAAAACAAGCTTTCTTAGAAATTAGGGCCATTTTAGGTCAAATATAAATAGTCATCCCACAGATATCCCAGGGACTTGACTATTTTGGTGAACTTTAGAAATGTAATGTCATCAGGTAAACTCTGCAATGTTCCAATAGAAAAACTGACCTATTTCTAAAAGTAGTAAACATTTATCAATGTATAATCGGGCCCCTGGATTCTTTCTTTGTTGCAAATATTTCCACTTCTCTCTTTGATAGTTAAGATTTTCCCAAAGAGTAATGGCTGGCTTTTATATTTTTTTTACTTCCACTACTATTTGCATGTATTTTTCAAGATTTTTGTGGGTTTTTTTTCAGACAGGAAACCCTAAGATAATTTTTCAGGTTCACAGACAGATTCGATGCAGACTTCTTAGGAATAAAGTTAAGAGTGTTTAATTATTTCTTTTATCAGCAGACAGCAAAAGATAAGGGGTTTGTTTCTTTTCCTTTCCCATGTATAAATTCATTACAAAATGAACATGTTTTTTCTTAGGCCTCACTTACCTTTTTTAACTGTGCTTCCAATTTGCTACATTCTTCTTTCTTTTGTTCGATGGCTATTTCTAGAGACTTTAATTTAGAGTCCCTTTTCAGCCCTGCTGAGGCTAATGAAGATGCATGCTCCTTGAGGTCAATTAAACTAGACTGAAAGGGAAAGAACACTCGTAAGGAAAACACTGCCATTTCCACCAGCGATGTCTTCTATCTGAATACATCGATTCTATACATAGCAATAAAGTGTGCGTTAGACAGAAAGAGTAAATATAGTCTTACTAAGGTAACAATGGTCTACTCTGGCCAGGAAATTAAAGTTGGCCAGCTTACAGAACCGAGCAGGATCTAATTGCAACAGAATCAAATGTGACCAAAAGCTGTGGTCAGTCAATGCAAGTTTCACGTCTCAAAGTCATGCTAATGATGTAAGTCCCGAGGTGGTCTTTACATGTCACGGTAAAACAGACACCCCGAACCTCCCATTTACATTTATTGCTGTCAGGTCGTGCAGACGCTAAGACAAATATGAAAGAAAATACTGACTTTAATGCTTTCCCAGCCTCCCTCTCAGGGAAAATCAAGTATAAAAGAAACAGCCTATTTTTTGATAAAATTCCATTTCTTTAACAGATAAATGCCCAGTGGTTTTTCAACCATCTTCTGTATAATCAAAGATAAAATGACTTAAAAATTTAGAGTAGACTTTCTGTTCCAGTCCTTTGTAAATGCAGATGCAGCAGATGTAATGAATCTCTCCAACTCAGACATGGGGTCGCCTGAATTGTTCCATTCATCATTCACACCCAGAAACCAAGGGCTTCCCTGTACAGTCCGAATTCTGAAAACTAAAGACAGAAATCCTTGCCTGTATCACAGAACATAACTTTGCTAGCTAGGAGGGCAATGTCCATCACTAAATATGAAGTCATTAGCAACATCTAACTATGAGACTAAAATGTTCAGGTTTCACCCCAAATCAGCCATGTGTGCATTCCCTGTACATCCATTTACAGCTCAGAGGAAGACGTTGAGCATACAGTGCTCTCTCAGTAAATGATGGTGCCTCATACTTTACTTCTGGGCTGCTTCCCATGCACTGGAATCATCTTGTTGATGAAAATACTACCACCATCACCCAGCAAACAGCCCAGCTCCTAAGAACCCTCCAAGGGACAGGTTAGCCAACCTGACTTTGCAGGTCAGGAAACTGAAGCTCACGTGTGTCTTCTGCAATGTCACCAAGCTATTAAAGGGAGATGCAGGTCTCAAACCCAGGTCTCCAACTCAAATGGCAATACGCTTTATTATAGCACTCCTACAGAAGTAAAAAAGGACTTTATAATCCAGGTATTTTGTCACGGTGAAGATTATTGTTTATAATTTAGATAATCATCTAAAGCTCCCCGGTGACAACAACTATATGTTGTTTTCTTGGTAGCTTTTACATTGCTGGGTGTGACAGCTTTGTGTGTCAACTTGGCTAGGCTATCATCCGCAGACTTTCAAATCAAACACTAATCTGGGTGTTGCTGTGAAGGGATTGTGTAGACATGACTAACATCTACAATCAGAGGACTTTCAATTAAGGATATTATGCTCCATCATCTGGGTGGGCCTGGTCCTATCAGTTGAAAGGCCGTAAGAGCAGAACTGAGGAGTCCCTGAGAAAGAAGGAATTCCACCTGCGGACTGCAGCATCAGCTACTGTCTGAGGGTTTCCTCCCTGCCCTTCCTGCTGGCCTGCCTATGAATTTCAGACTTGCCTAGCCAGCCCCCCTAACTACGTAAGCCAATTCCCTGCAATAAATTTCTTAATACGGTTCTGTTTTTCTGGTGCAAGTTTGACTGACACATCTAGCCCAGTGGCAGGCACATTATTATACAGGAACAATAAATATTTGCTGAAATGCCTGTCTGAAATTCATACAGTGTAGGCATTGTTTATAAAATTATTTTCATTTAAAACGTATGCTCCACCATGTCATCAAGATCTCTTTTCATTTAGGGGCGCATGCGCGCGTGTGTGTTTTTCAAGGTATAAACCCACGAATAACACTTGCAACCAGCGAAGAATGCTGCAAATGGGCCAAAACTCGGTGCTTCTGGCACATGTCAACTACAGTAATTACAGACCCCCAGGTTGGATTATCAGGGAAATAGTAGGAAGAGGATTTACGTTCTTTATTTTCATATCAAAACAGTAATCTCCTCTCTAAAAATTTAAATTTTAAGTTTAAGTTTTAGAGACTACAAATTCTGCTTCTGAGTTTCCTCGAAGCTCCTATTACTCTCCAGTCTTCCCTTCTTGGAACCCTAATTTAGATAGTACTTTAATGTATACAGAATTATTAAAACCCAGTGGCTGAGGTAACGCGTTGCAGCCGGGAGCCAGGTGACCACAGTGGCACAGCCCAGCAGAGGGGAAGGAGCTAGGGCAGCCCACAAGAGAGGGACATTTTCTGTGGACAAAAATAAGGGTGAAGGGACCAGGTGTGGACAACACACATGTCTCAGAGTTTGGGAGACAGATAATGTGCACTGCTGCTTCTCAAACCTCTTCACCAAAGCATCCCTCAGTAAACTAACGGAGGTATCGGCATCTCTGAGTATAGGGTTACGGCCCAACGAGCCTCTCCAGAACCCCCAACAAGCAATTTCTTTAAAGTATATTGTTTTACTGTAAAAATGCAGGTGAGATGCTTTCTGTTTCCATGTTCACTCTAACATGAAAATATCATTTTAAAGTATTTATCATAATGTGAAAATGTCCCAGAAGAGTAGTCACGTTGAACCTATACCTTTGTGTCCAGCCTGGTACCATGTCTCTCAGCTGGGAGGCATTGAGTGATCCATCTGAAAAGCGCAGATGAATGTCAATCACCCAACCCAAGGATTAGCACATGAAAGGCTTTCAACAAAGTGAAGCTGTTATTATTATTGATGCTTTTGTTGTTATCTCAAACAAAAAGCCATGGGACTCCTCCTCTAGGTTATATAAATGTGGTAAGACATCAAGAAGATTTTCCAGGAGCTACATCAGATGCCGTTAGCAGAGAAGATCGCATTGAGCATCACCAATGAAGAGTACGGTAAATATTTTCCTTTGACTTCAGACAGCTTTACAAAGAAGGGTAACTGTGTTCCCCAAACCTTCACACGGGCCCTCAAACCAAGTCTCAAGTCTCTTGAGGCTGCCATGAGAATGGGTTTCCGAGGATTATCAGTGGGGTGCATTTGTGCCTCCAGACTCACCTCTTTTTCAGTCAGCTCAGCTTGTAAAGCATTGACCTTCTCTTTCAGGTCTTTGTTCTCTTTTCGGAAGGATTCTATTTCTTCTAGTCTTTCCCGATCATCTCTCTCCCGCTGTTCTTTCAAACGCTCAATTATTCTTTCCTGGGAGGCAATTGTCAAAAAACAAAAGAGGTAAGAACCAATCAGTGTATATGCCAAGGCATGCTACAAAAAGAAGAAACAAATGTAAGAAATTCTCTACAAGAATCAACAACACACATGATGAAAACTTGGGTTTGCAAAGAGAGCATAACAGATGATGAATACAGCATTTGGCTTGTTAACAAAGTTAGCGTCATCGAGTCGCAAAGGACATCGACGTTCAAGCTCTGAGGCTGTTTTGGGTTCACGGAGGTGCTTGGAAAAGTTCAAGAGCAATTCCAGACGAGGGGGGTTCAGGCATCAAGACTCCAGACCTGCCAAAGCTTGTCTGGGCAGGGAAAGCAGCAGAAGCACCCTCCTGGCTCAACCCTCTTTGCCTTTCCCACCTGACATCTAAAAACTTTCCTTGGTTTCTGAAGACTCTTCTCTGACTGGAAAGTGGATTCAAGTGGGGCAGGACCTGGGCACGCCAGGACTCAGGACTGCCTCACAGTGAGAACTTGAAACAAAATAAAGAACCAGCTAATTGTATACGGGATTTTCCAATGTGTCTGGAGATGTGTATTTACTGCCAGAGATCGTCAATGGCTTATTGGCAATCAGTAGAGACCCCAAAACATTGCTTAGATTTGAGCAAAGTCCACATCATAGCTTTCTTTTATTGAGAGTTTACTACACACGAGGCACTGTGACGTTCCCTGCTAATCGTGTCCTCTTCACAACGGCAAGGTCTGAACCCCTGCTCCTGGGGACAGGGTATGGTATGGAAACCTGGGCGCAGAAGGGCCGCTGACTCATCCAGGGTGATCCAGCTCATAAACAGAAGGTGCACGCTGACATCCAGGGCTCTCTTCGTCTAGCCAAGCCCATGAGACCACACTGACACAAACATGCCTGGAGCCACTCCAGGAGATCTGAGGACCTGTCTGCCCGCAACTTTCCTACTGCCATTAAAATACTACTCCGGTAGACACGTTTCCCAAACTCTGCAGCCTTCCCAATATCAAAATAAGAACCTTCTTCTTTTTAAGGACAATTCCACTTGGGAAAAGTCGGAGTTAGATTGCTAAAATGTGTTTCAGAGTATCCAACACATACCCGAACTTCCCTTTCAGTAGCATCATTAGAAAACATCGGTGCAGCAATGACCCTTAAACATCCTGATATTATTTTTTCTGTTCTGATAAGCACATAGTGCAGACAATTCCCGATGCATAAGACAACGCAGGACAGTGTTTAATGCAGTGGGAAGTTCGTTTGAACACTCAGTCTGTGATTTAAGATCCCCCAGGGAAGCAACTGTTCTACCTCAGTGAGAATAATTTATGTACCTAATGCTTTCAAGGGGGGAAAAAAAGTACCATTATTGTTTTGCAATTATTTAAAAATACTTTAAAATGAAGTATATTATTACAGCAGTGGGGGTGGATAGAACAAATGAGTCATTAAATCGCCTATATTTGTTTCTTCTTGATTCCAGTTACAGTCCTATTTCACTCTGCCTGCGACACTGGAGAGTGGATGATTATGCGATCTACAAAAGAAGGAAATGGCTTCAGTGTATGGTAAGTCTCTCACAGGCTTTTAACGATTTCAGCAACTGAGCCCTTGATGCCTTCGCCTACACTTATTACGAAAGCCTCAGAGCCGGTGACCTGGCCACCAGGCCCTCTCCATCTCATCACTTCCACCACTTGGCTGTTAGAGTGACATTTTTAAAGCCCCAACTGACTGTGTCACCTCACTATTTGGAACCCTTCCCAAGAATCACTCTGGCCCAATCATGTGGCTATTTTTCCCCACTCAGCACCCTTCCCGTGGTTTACTGCGTGCCCGTCCTCCCAGGCCACCTTTGCCAAGGGCAGCGCGGGGATCCAAAGACCTGGGCAAACTGTTTGCATACAACAGGCTATTAAACAGGCTGATGGAAGAAAAAAGAACTCAAATTAGGGATCATCTTGTCTTCAAAGGAAGGGAAATAAAACTAAGTATGTGTGTTAACATCCGGAAGGTGTCAGCGTCATTTGGAGAGTAGGTTGATTTGCTCTAAGCACTTGTACTATTGACTGGGCATTGATGACAAAAAAAATCAGCAAGCAGTATAACGTTTTTAAGTGTTATTGATGATTCAATACTCCAAAATATTTCTCCGTCAATCACAAAACTAATTTAACTGTCAGCCGCACAGGGCCAGATGTCAAAAACATGTGTTAAAAAGCCCTAATATGCCATGATCTACTTGATTAACAGCTAACTTGTAGAAATTCCAACAATGTGTTCTTGTTTTAGTCTTATTTGCATTGGCAAGTGTTCCTTGTGCACTCATCTGGCTCTGCACGGGTCTAATCTATTTGTGCTTTATCACTGGGTGGAACTGACTTGCAGTGGCCTCTAGCTCTGCTATCTGGCTTTCTCCACTGCTTATCTGCTATGTGGCTACAGCAGGGCTTGGGAGCCCAGCCTTATAAACACCAGGGGTTCTGTCTCCTTAGCTTCTGTGTGTCAATCCTCGAACTAAATCATACTCAATCTTAACTTGCTAAGAGGCAGCATTTTTTGCACACTCTGAATATTTGAGTCAGTTCTTAGAAATTAAAAGGAATCACACGCTCCCTGGGATGTCATAATCTAAGTGGACTGGTGATATGATGCCTAATGGGGTCTATTCATTGGCCAAAAGACGTCCAATAATTAAATGTTCTTATGACTCTATACTTTTAATTAACTGTTTTATTTTTTCTCACCACGTCTTGCTCCAGAGGATCTATTCAATTATAGGTGGATACAATCAGAACTTGTGAGGGAAAGGCCATTAAGGACATGGTGATGTAAAAGCACAAAGATCAGAAGACTTGAGATGCAGTCCTATCCCATCTCTCGTGAGCTGAGTGGCCTTAGGACGATGTGGGGTAGGAAACAAAATCCTAACCAAGGGCCAACCTAGAGCGTAAGCGACTTCCTTGAGTGCTGGGTTAGAAGTTAGCTCGGGCCATGGTTGATGAATGATGTCTGCCCAGATCTCAGAAATGAAAAATGGTGCCACACATGTCCCAGATTTTTATTTCTGGGCAAGTCATTTTATTTCCCTGAGCCCTCTGCCCATCTTTAAGAGGAAGCAACATAGATTCAGTGTCTCAAAGTGTGGTTTTCTTACCATGTACATCAGAATCACTGACGCATGCTTGCTAAAAATCATAGGTTCTGGGTCCCAGAGCAGAGCAACTGAATCAGAATCACCAGGAAATGGCACCCAGGAAACTATATTTTAAGAAGCTCCTTAAGTGGTAAGATTATTTGGATGCACACAGAAGTTTGATACCCACTGAAATGAATACTTAAACCTACTATGCTTTGTCCCATGATAGAAGACCTTGCCACTTCCCATCCAATGTTTTTGTCTCGGCTTTTCTAATACGCTAGCATTGTGGTTGTGGCACCATTTGAAATTTCCTCTAAATAAACTGCTCTGTTTGCTTTTATTCTTCATTACTGTGAAAGGCAAAAATGTAGATGCAAATAAGGTTTGCAGGCTAACAGCTCACAGGTCAAAGCTGGCCCACAGAGCTATTTTGTTTGGCTTGAGCATTGCAGTTTTGAAAATCTGAACTTAAATGTTTTGAGACAGGTCAAGGACTCTCCAGCTTACCATAGTTGCCAATAGTCCCTAATGCATCACACCAAACCCACTTCCCTCATTTTTGCTCCCTGCCAGGTCCTTGGAGACATCTGAGCCCTCAAGTCCTCATCCCTGGTCCAATTCAGATTGCATGCACCTGAGACTGAGGATCAGCAAACTGAACTACAGTCAAAGCAGTTGCAAAGAGAATGGAACTTAGAGATCAGCTCATTTAAACGTGCATTTTGGAAATAAGGTGCTGACAGGAGAAGCTTGCCCACTTGCTGCTGTTATCAAGCAGCGAAGGCAGTTTGAGGGGCCAGACTCCCGCAGACCTCAGCTTCCTTCCCAGTCATCCCCTCGGCCTCAAAGGAAGTGCTTAAGGAAGGGAGTAGTTTCAGATTTGGGAATTCTTTGGGATTTAAACTAGAATAAATCAAATCTTAATAGGGCCCAGGGAAAAAAATGATAAAGTCCTGCCAAGAATTCACGACATGGAAAATTATATGGTATATGTTTACTTCTATAAATTTGGAGAAAGACATTTGGAGAAAGAAAACAAATAGGCTGACATCCTATCACTCAAAAATTACAAAAGGGATACATGATCATTGACAGTTTTGAACCGACATTCCCTCATTCAAATTTTCACAAACAAAATTACTGCAGAGAGCTTTGGTAATACAATCTTGAAAACTAAAGACGGAAGAATATCTTTTCCTGAAAAATCATTATATGTACTCGTCTTAAAAGTGTTCAAATAAAATCTCATGCCTTACAATTTAACCCTACAGTTATAACTTTTAATAAGAACATGAAGACTATCTAGCCATAGAATATGACTCCTTTTTTTTTTTGTTAATGCCTATATATTTACCATAGATCAGCGGTTCTCAGACTACAGTGCACATCAAAACGACCAGGGAGCTGCTCAAGTGCACGCTCCCAGGCCCTCCTCAAGGCTCCAATTCAGTAGGCAAATGTAAAGCCTAAGAGCTTGCATTTTCAACATGTACCTCTGGTAAATGTGAAGTAAAAGTCACAGAAGGTTTCTCTACGATACACTGGTGTACAGACACTGAGGGCCATTTTATCTCATTTCCCACCACAAATGGGGAATGTGAGGCCCTGGGAGAGAGAGTGACGTGCCCTCTGAAATCCCATGTATTTTATTTATTTATTTATTGTCTGTCTCTCCTTCAGCCCCATGAGAATCTAAACTCCATGACAGGCAGGATTTCACTCCGTTTCTCTGCTGCATCTCCGGTGCCCTCAGCAGTGCCCGTTCCACAGTGGCGGTTCGTTCACCCCGTGTCGGCTGAGCACCCCTCCCCGGCACTACTATACCAGGCACTGGGGGAAGGTGAGCGAACCACACATCAATAACACACAAATATGGGTGTACTTCTCGGGCTTGGAGTCTAGCAAAGAAGACCAATTAATCACATAAAAACAGATAAAAGTACAATTAAGAATGTGACATGAGCTCTGGGAATTTCACAGTGTTCGTGAGAACATTCTAAAGAATTTTACTGAGGCTTCCCTGAGAACATGATTAGTCAAATAATAATAACAACAACTACAGCTGCAATTTATTACACCCATTGTTCTAAACAAGAACGGAGGATGTGAGGGAGCAAGTCATGTGTCTGAAGTAGTAACTGTCACACCTAGGATCTGAAGCCAGGCAGTCTGACTCCAATGTCCACATTCTTAACTACTGTGCAATATAGCTTCCCAGGAAGCTGAGGTCGCAGAAAAAAAGGAATTAAGTCTGCAGGGAGTAAAGCATATTCTAGGCTCAGTAGCAGCATGTGCAAAGGGTCTAGGGCAGGATGGAGTGCGGTACACCTGAAAATCTATAAGGCCAACAGAGTTCGAACACAAAGAACAAGGGACGAGAGACGGGGGATGAGTCAGGGAAGGGAGGGAAGAAGGAAGGAAAGGAATGGGGGAGAATAAGGGGGAGAAAGGAAGGGGGTAGCAGAGAGGTGGGTGGTCAGATAAGAGCCAGATCAGATGAATGGATGAACACTATGGGTCAGGTTAAGGATTTTACTTTTTCTCATCCTAAGAACAATGACAAGCTAGTGAAGGTTTTTAGCAGGGCCAAGGATGAGGTGATCAGGTTTGTATTTCCAAAAGACACCCTTGGCTTCAGTGTGCCAAGTCTACTGAAGAGGGCTAGCTTGGGAGTGGGCAGCCCCGCTGGAACTGGGGGTAGTGTGGGTGCATGGGGAAAACCAGGCACATTTAAATGCATTTGGAACGTCTCCTCCCAACCATCTTGCCCTAAACCCTGAGCCCCCACTTTGAAGTCCAAGCTCACCTTCTCTGACAAAGCCTCCTCGAGCGTCGCCAGGGCAGTATCTGTGTTGCTGGAATCTGTCTGCAAGGACTTCACTCTGTCTTTCAGGTTGGTCAGTTGCTTGTCTTTATCCCTAAGCTGTTCTTGCAAGTTTTCAATCTGAAAATAAAGATCACCATATTTAATGCACATTACATATCCAGGGCCAACATTTCTGAAGTGATCTTTTTAAAAAAAATAGATTTGAGATTGTGGAAATTGTCAGCATTAGGAGGTTACACTCTCACTTAGAATGAATGCTATGTGATGAGGCCTTCCTTCTCCCACATAATTCAAACTTGTATTTAAATGGTGATACAGATGAGTAGCGTATCTCCCTCCATACACATGCAAGCCCATCAAACGTGTAAACATGGTTATTTCTTCCCCTGTCACCAGCCCTTTAAGTCTCAAATCCATGGACCTTACCGTGGAGCAATGAACCAGAGAAACACACACACAGGATTTATTCACTCAGTGAACAGAATGGGTACCCAGTCTGCACCAAGCACCATATCAGTGTATAGCAGAACCTATGTAGTCATTCACTCACTCCTTTATTCAGTATTAAAGTCTGTGATATGCCAAATGTTGTCAAGTGGCTGTTTCAAAGTAACCACATGAAAAGCCAAGTAGGTTATCACCAGTAGACTGTTAATGGGAAGAACTTGTGATATAAATCAAATGTAACAAGTACTAAACACTCCATTTGGCAACTAAGTCATGTGCTGGCAACCTACCAGGCACTTTCATCCACTATCTGCAGCCTGAAATAAACACGCCAAACAGCCGATTATAACGCCTGCCCGGGAGCGGCAGCCAGGACCTTCTAGCGGGCATTGCGTACATTATCACTCATGTTTTTATTCTCTGCTTTCAAACCACGTATTTCTTATCTAAGGATTAAAAAAAAGCTCCACTGTACAAACAATTTATTCGTATTAAGGGTTTTAAAATGACAAGGAAAAATAGCAGTACAACTCTAAGATAAGTCCATTCAAAATATTTGTATTCTGCACCCAGGCTTTCTCAGGAAATCATTCCAAAGGCATGTTTCACAATGTGTGACTCTAACAAATTTCTGGATTACTTGATTCACTGGGCATGAATCGGGAACAGCAATACAAATGACAATAGCTAACAGCAATGATGAGGAGGAGAGGGTGACGGCAGAGGCGGCGGCCGAAGCAGCATCAAAATCGTTCCACGTGCAAAGACAGTGGCGCTGCTGGCCCTGGATCTGCAGGATGAGACTTGGCGAATGTTTCCACTGGTTACAATGGTTGTGGGAGAAGAGATGGACTTCGTCTGTTTCCCGAGACACTCATCCTGGAAACTCAGGTTATAGGTCAAATAATTAACTTTCTCCTTCAACAAAATGCAATGTGTTCCCACCCAGCCACCTCTGTGAGAATTCACTGTCCCTCCGTGGAAAAGAGGAGAAAGGCACAGTCATCTGCAGTCAAAACAAAGTCTTCCTCCGTTCCAGACAAGTATTCATAGTTATACAACACCATAAGCAAATACATGAGTGAGCAAGAACGCGCACAGTTATATGTCAAAATGATGGCTGTTATATAGAAGCCAGCAACCCAGGGTACTGACTCTTCCCACAGTGCATGTTATTGTTTTCAGTACACCCACACCCACATATTCATTTGTGTAAACATATATGTGCAAATTCATGGTGGTTCCAAGCAAACCAATTAGACACACCTTGTCCACCTTGGAAGACAGTGCCCTGAACAGGGAAGGGGGGACCCTCTCTCAGAGCATTAGTCCTGAGGCTATGGTAGGCACTGATTGCTAGGGCCTCTGGGCACTGGAAATAGAGGCTAAAAAAGTCTGGCTGTGAGCCTGTGTGAGAACCCAAGGGCCTCCCCCAAATTACTGGGAAGACTAGGGAAGTTGAGGATTCGAGGTCCTACCAGTCTGTAGGTAGGAGCTAAGAGTTGAAGAAATGTGGGCTGGTGAGACCTGGGGACATAAGAGTGACCGGTCTATTTATCTCACATTTAAGAACCCAGCAGAATAGCTGATGATATCGCAGGCGGACTGAGTCACAGATCCGGAATTGGAGACAGACATATAGAGCAAAAGATGTACCACTTTAAGAAATGCCACATAGCCCTAGCCGTTTTGGCTCAGTGATTTGAGCATTAGCCCGTGGACCAAGGGGTCATGGGTTCGATTCCAGTCAAGGGCACCTTGGTTGTGGTTTGACTCCTGGCCCTGGTTGGGGGTCAAGTGGAAGGTATCCAATTGATGTGTCTCTCTCACATCGATGTCTCTCCCTCCCTCTCTCCACTCTACCTGAAAATCAATGGAAAAGTGTCCTCGTCCAAGGACATTTTTGTATTTTAGCTTCAGATAGAGTGGGAGGGAGAGAAGGGGAAGAGAGAGAGAGAGAGAGAGAGAGAGAGAGAGACATCGAGTGGTTGCCTCCCATATGACCCCAACTGGGGCCGGGGACAAACTACACCTGAGGTACATGCCCTTAGCGGACACCGAACCCAGGACTCTCTGGTCTGAGGGCTGACGCTCCAACCGCTGAGCCAAACCGGCCAGGGCTCGAGTGAGGATTTAAAAAGAAGAAATGCTGCACAAAGATCTCCAAGAAGGATTCTTATTTATTATTTTTTCTTTTCTTTTTTTATTGTTGAAAGTATTACAGATGTCCCCCTTTTGTCTCCATTGATCCCTTCCTTCCTGCTTCCACCCCCCTCCTGCTTTCCTCAACCTAATGACTGTGTCCATTTGTTGTGTATAAACGCATATAAGTTATTTGGTTTATCTCTTCTCACCCTTCCTGCCCCCATCCCTCTGAGGTTTGTTAGTCTGCTCTCCACTTCCTTGATTCTGGATCTATTTTGGTAGACAGCTTATTTTGTTCATGATGTTCTATAAATAACTGAGACCATGTGATAGTCTTTCTCTGACTGGCTTATTTTACTCAGCATAATACTCTCCAGGTCTCTCCATGTCATCTCAAAGGTTAAGAGATCTTTCTTTCTTACAGCTGCATAGTATTCCATTGTGTATATGTACCATAGATTTTTTATCCACTCATCTATTGATGGGCACCTGGGCTGTTTCTAGATGTTAGCTATTGTAAATAGCGCTGCTATGAACATAGGGGTGTATATATTCTTCCTGATTGGTGTTTCAGGATTATTAACAGAGAAATACAAGGTACAGAACAGTGTGAGAAATATAGTCTCTTGCGTAAAAAATAAATAAATGAATCTATAAGTACACACAGTTATGTAGGTACTGAAATTTAAATTTTTTCTGGAAAAAAAAGAAACTTTTACAATGCTTAGCTTTGGGGGAAAGGATCCAGGGTGCAGAAAGTAGAAGGAAGCTTCTGTTTTTCATTTTTTGTACATTTCTATAGTTTTTGGCTTTAATTTTCTAACCACGTGTGTTTTATTAATTTTTAATGCCAACCAGAATTATCTGATTGTCGAGATTATGGGTCATTTTTAGTTTATATTTTTATATAAAAATAATGTTATACACATAAGTAAATAATAAATAATCACATAAATAACAAATGCCTACTTAAAACAGAACTGTCCAAGTTACTAACAGTTACGGATTGTTGGTACATTTAAACCATTACACAAATATTTAGAATCATGTTTGCATATAATTGCCTCTAGGTATAAATAGTAGAATGCAAAGGGAAAAAAAGCAAAATGTAAGATAGTATAATTTTGTTTAAAAAGTTCTTACATAGAACAAAAATATATATAACAGAAATGCACTAAAATGTTATTTTTTGGTAATGGTGTGATTTTACTTTTCTTTATACTTTCCTACATCTGCCGATTTGTTTTCCTTGAACATAATAAACAGAGAGCTGGGGAACCAGAGTGATGGAAAATAGACTAGAACGACGCCCAGTGTTTTGATGCAAATACTAGTGCAGATGCTATTGCCCCAGCTGCTGAATCCCTGGAACTGAGCACAGACCCAGCTGTAACTGACCACTGGACACCACCACTTGCCCTGCAGTCATGCAGACCCATGGCCTTGATCTTGCTGTCACTGCAGCAGAGAGAGTCCCTCACACTCCCAACATCCCGACCCTGGGGCAGATACACCTAATGAGCAGAATGAAGGTAAGGCGCACAGCCCACCTGCAAAGGAATATAAGAAACCAAGTGTTGACAATCTTGCCTTCCAGCATGAGAGCACCTTCATAGGCTCAGAAAACCAGAGTATGGGCAGCAACAAGGACCCATCTCAACACCACCAAGAGAGAGCTCTAACCAGCAAACTACACCACCCTGGAACAATTATTCTGAACTATCTCGCTGTGAAGTTCTTTCAGGGCTATAAAGCTAAGCTTTGATTCAAACGCTTGCCCAAATGTGGTTCATGCGACTCTTTGCAACCGGTCTGTGATAAAACTACAGCCATTGAGAGTGTCTGTATATTGCTTCAATACTCAAGAACATGACTGATGGACTTCTCACCTTGAGCCGTATATAGACAAGTTGAGATATCTTTAAACTCATGTGTCACATGTGACCAGAGCCACACAGTGATCATATGTGGTAGGACCACATATTGTTATACGACACACTGGAAATTTAAAAAAAGAAATAGGTTGCTTAGTAATCACAGATGTATAATAGTCCTGCTAATCTCTCAATGCTTCAAAAATACCTTTCGTTTCCTTTTTTTTTTTTTTGGATTTTGGTTAAGATAAACATAACAAAATTTACCATTTTAACCAGTTTTAAATGCACAGGACAGTAATATTAAATACCTTCACGCTGTGTACCCATCAATACCATCCAGCTCTATGTGTCTGCATTTGGTTCTACACAGACGTAGAGTCAAGTGGCCACCAGCGAAGTCAAGGTACAGAACAATCCCATCACTGCACTCACTTACCTCCTGCCTCTGCCCGTCCCTAATCCCTAGCAACCATGACTCTGTTCTCCATTTCTATAATGTTGTTACCCCACAAACGTTACATAAACACAGTATATAATCTTCGGGGCTGGCTTTTCTCCCCCCACTAAGCATGATTCTCTGGAGATCCATCCAAGTTGTTATGTTTACCAATAATGTGTTTCTTTTTGTTGCTAAGTAGTATTCCATGA